CCCGAGCTGAGCCGAAGGCAGAGGCTTAACGACTGAGCCACCCAGGCGCCCCAGGGCTTTTTGTCAGTGTACTTCACTGCTGAGTCCCCAGCGCCTAGAACAGCGACTGGCCCAATAAAGATGCTCAATAAATATTCGTTGAGTGAGTAAACTGCTGTGAGGCATTGGCAACGTTGCAGATTTGCTGGAAATGTGGCATGATGGACTTGTCTACGTTCCCGCGACTTACAGAGGGCCCTGGACCAACAGCAGCAGCAGCAGCCTGGCTGGGAGTTTGTCAGCAATATTGAATCCCAGGCCCCCCCCCCAGACTTCCGGAATCGGAACCTGCATTTAAACGAGATCCCTGGGCGATTCATACGCACATTAAAGTTTGAAAAGCACCGGTCTGTATCACAACAATGTGAACAGCTGAAAGTTGGAGCTTACACATCTGTGTTCTGAAAAGACTTTCTCATACACAAGAAATAGGTAACAGTAGGGCTCCGGGGAAGGGACCGGGTTGCCAGGGGAATGAGGATGGTAGGAAGAAACTATTCCCTAGGAATCATTTCGTGCCTTTCGCGTGCAATTAGTAGCTATTTAAAAGTAAGTAAATTGATTACTTGTAAGATAGAATACATAATTAAAGGCCTCCTGCTACTTCTCCATGGGATGCCTCTCCCTGGCCTCCTTTCTCCGTAGACTCTTGTCTTGCTGCTAACCATCCCCCACCCCGACTCCCTCTCCAGATCCGGATAAAGAAGAGGCCTCCACCACTACCCACTTAGCAGGCAGGAAGGACTAAGAAGGTCCAGCTTTTAAAGAACAAGTTCCTTGCTTCTTTAGATTCATGTAAGGCAGAATGAAACAGAAATGAAAGGCAACTGAAAACTCCGTGTTCAAACAAACACAGACATAAATGACAAATGCAGTATGGACGCTTCACTCTCTCACATATAACACACTTCAGACGTGCATACACATGACAACACTCCCCAAAAGCACCCAAAAAGACACAAGCTTGCCCCTGCTTCCCTCTCATTTTCCCTCATCACCCCTCAGAGTGGGGGGCTGGTCAGGACCTCGGGCCTCTATAGTGAGCAGCCGGGCCACCAAGAGCCACCAGGAAGAGCAGCTGCCGCAGCAGGCTATGCACGTGGCTCCTCAGGGTGCCCTTGCCATGAGCGTAGACAGTCACAGCCGTGGCCCCTTGTGCTAGTCTCCTATGCTGCTTCACCTGCCACGCCAGGCTCCTCTGGTCCACCAGCTACTGAGCTGGAAGAACCTGTCCCGGGCAGAACCGTCTTCCTAGTACCCGTGCTGAATGCAGATGCAGATCTGCCCCCACGTGGAGAAGGACTCAGTGCGGCGCTCATTGGCAGCTCCCCTTCCACTGTCACCTGCTACTTCCCCATCCCCCTCCCCCTTGTCCCACCACACAACTCTGTCCCTGCAGTAGGACCAGGGACTCGGCCCCCGGCACGGTGGATTCCAAAAGAGGAGGAGGCTGTGTCTCAGCCAAGGAGCCAGCCGAGCCAAGGCACGAAGAACAAGAAAACGTGGTGAATGACTCCTCCCAAGGGACAGCTGGGGCCCTGGCTGAGGGCCACCTCTGCTGCCCACGTGAGGATGGGATAACCTTCAGACCCACCCAACACCCATCAGCCGAGGAGCTGGGACCCCACTGATGGGCTCTAATCAGTTTGCTGCAGATCAAATCATTCAATGCCAATTTGCCAAGTTCTCTGAGTTGGTGAGGACTTTTTCAAAACTTCTGGGGTTTTGCCTCCCCTGGCATTTTAAATGCAAAGGGTCATATTTCCCTTGAATGCAATCTCCTGCTTTCCCTATTTGTGCAAATTTACTTGTGTTCCAGCTCCAGAGGTTATCATACAAATACCCTCCACTGGGTCAAGGACAGTCATCACTCACTTCACAAATGGGGATAGACATGTTGCAGGCACGGGACCCAGAGAGGGGGCAGGGCAAAAACTTCTAAAACTTAGAAAAACACACAGGGATTTTTTTTTCCCCCTAGGGATTTTTAAAGGGCAGATTTCCAGGGGTTGAAATTCTTTCTAACAGGTGACTTTTTCTTTCTTTCTCACACATTTGCGTATTACCATAATTATTCACAATTTACTTCTGCGGTGAGTAAAAGTAATTCTAGCAGCCCCTTTTGTTCATGGAAACATATATCAAAGGCCAACAGTGTTATAAGGGGGTGGGTCCATCCTCAGGGCATAATCCTTACACAATCCCTAAGAATTCCTCGCCCGTTTGTTGTCTTCTTTTTAACTGAATTGTAACTGGCACACGATATTCTATCAGCTTCAGGTGTACAATACTTTGGTCATCTTTCACAATGCATTTCTGGTATTCCATACATATTCCCTTCACACATTGTCTCTGACTACCTAGAATATGATGAGCTAAAATGTGTCCCTTCCGGCCCACCCGGTGAGCTCCCTCCTCATCCCAACTTTTTACGACTTCATGAAACCTCCCCCTCTGCCTCTTTCATTGTGTCAGAGACTCACATTTTTTCTGTTTCCCATTACTTTTGTAAAAAGAGGTGGAACGCAATAAAACAGTTGTTCGGAAACTTTTCTGGAGGCAACCAATTCTTCCCTGGAATGCAGGCTTTCACAGAAATGGTGCCCAAAGGGAAGGAGAGTAGGGCCCGGACCCTGGCCCACTCCCAGGAGGCGCCTGGGCCGCTCCGCCCTCCCGGGCCCACTGCCCCCTCTGCCCCGAGGGCGGCACCTTCACGGGTCCACTGGCAGGCTGTGAAAACTCTGTTCCTAAGTCATCACCATCAATTATTCAAATACCTGCACAGACACTGCTCACTGCTTGGAGACTTGGCCCCAAAGAGGACCCGTGGCTGCTGGAGGCGGCGCCACTGTGCTAGAGCTCCAAGTGGCTGTTCCTCGCTGACACCAAAATCTGGATGTGACACGTAAACCTGGCAAATGGTGTCACCGCAGCAGGCGCAAGGCGCCCTTCGCAAGTCAAAAGCAGAGAAGTGGAAGGCTGTACATGAAGGAGATTTCTCCTCACAAAACAGACGTGTCCCAGCCACCTCCCTCCCTCCCCCGGCCACACAGAGCCCCCAAGCGACCTCCCATCTCTTGTTAGCCCTGAGGCCCTGGCAAACCCTCGGCGAAGCAGAAGGCCTGACTGACCCACGGTGAGAGATCAAACTGTAAATCCTACCAGCAACTGTTCTGAAGCACTGAAGTAGGCTACCCAGGAAAATGGGCTTCTCCTCAGGTGGTGGTGGTGGTGTTTGAAAGGGAAGGCTCTGAGTCTGTGCAGTTGCCTAAAGGGGAATGGCTGGGGTGCCCTCTTGAGGTCTCTGCAGGTCAGGGCTTCCCGTTTGTCTGCCGCCTTCCTCGGACGCAGGGCTGGCCTTCCGTGGTCACCACGCCACCTTCCTGGGGCTCGGCAGGGCCTGGGGACTAGCCAGCCCTGGGGGGGGGATGCAGGCTATGGTGGGAGAGGTGTTTCAGGAACTGTGGTCTGAGGAGAACACTGCTCTGCCCCGGCACCGGGCTGCCATCCTCCGACGCCGCTCTGAAGCCCTGATGGGTCCTGCGGGACAGGGTCCCCGGGGGGAAAGCCCATCGAGCCACCCTGTGGACGCTCGCTGATTCTGCCCTTCCTCCCGTCTTGTGAGCATCGGTAGCAAATTCAGGTCAAATTGAAGGATCCAAATTTCCTTTTCAACCCTTCTTCCCTCGAAACTCCCTCGCCAGGGAGGACAATACTGTCAGCACATCCATTTCTGGGCCAAATCCTCCATCACCCCACACCTGGCCCTGTACTCTGTTCCCTGCATTCAGCCCCGTGGCAACACTGCTGCTTTGTCTTCTCGATCTGACCCTCACGATCCGCCCCCCGACAGCCGGGGCTCTGGGCCAAGTCCAGTTTTCCCCATCCTTATCCTCCCTTCGTCTCCAACCAGCCTCCCCACTCCCCCTGGGTATTCAGCAGAACATCTCCTAATTGAAACCCTTGGCCACACTCTTCCCCAGGCGGCTCCCTGCCTCTCATTTCAAACCAGCTCCAGGAACCCTACCTCATCACAGTGCCTTTCCTACTAACGTGCGCCGGGCACAGAGCTGTGATTGCCACAGGCTCTGACCGACTCCTGTGAGGGAGATGGCAGTTTTACAGAAAGGAAACAGGGACTCCGGAAGGTTCAGTAACTCAGCTAGTTAACAGCAGAACTGGAGCTTCCACGGGCGAAGACAATAACGTCTTAAGCACGCACGGCATGCCTCGCCCTAGACAAGAAGCCTGTGATTGCCCTTTCGCAGTACCCGGCTAGGTCATAAAATGCCATACTCACATTATCCCACGTTGTTTATACAGAAGACAGATCTGCAGGTACATACATTGCTAGCTCTCTATGCTGACACTCTTCTTTCCCTCGCGTCCCCCAGCCCCAGCTCCGTGGGCATGCCCAGTCGCTGATGGCAGGAAGGGGGAGGCAGGGGCAAGGGTCCTATCTTATTCTGTACATCACTTGGTTCCAAGATAAGCTCAGCCAAGGACGGGGCCAGGGCCGATTCCAGTCCACTCTGATCCAGATTTGCCCCCGAACTGATATGGAACACAATTCATTTCCAGGAAAGAATAACAGGGGTGTGGTTGCCTCCCTTGAGACAAAGACATTCGAGGCTGGTGGCACTTTTGTTTCTCTCTTTGGAGCCATTTCAAACATGGGGTCAGCAAAATGCCAGCCACGGGTAGGCCAGGGGAAACCACACTTGTGTCGGGCTGCCTGAGTTCTTGAGGCTCTGGTCCACGTCAGTGACAGTCCCAGGCCCCACCGTGACATCCGGGCAGGCCAGCCAAAAACAGTGCCGCCCCTCTCCCTCTCCGGTCTCTTCACGCTCCCCAAGGCTCAGAGGGAAGCCCCTGGAGCCAGGGCTCCAACTCTCAGGCCTTCTCCACTGGGGCCGACGCAGGTCCCTGATCACACACAAAAAGACAACTTTTAGCCTTGAGACTGGAAAAAAAAAAAAAAGTTTTAATAAATACAAAAATCTCCAATAATGACTCTGCTCAGCTCAGGGGCAGCAGGAGTGAAGTGGGGGGACCCTTGGTGCTGAGTGAGGATAAATTAAAAATCCCAACAAGCCAGTGACATTATGTACAGAAAGAAAGGGGTTGGGCTTCCAAGGCAGTGGCTGGAGGGTGACAGGGCAGGAGTCGGAGTGGCCGTGGCCTTGGTCTGCCCTGGCTACCCCTTCCCCTCGTGGAGGTGTGGTTCCCAGAGGTAGTGGGGGGAGGGAGAAGAGGCAGAAAAGAGGGGCCAAAGGCACTGGGTTTCCCACAGGGGAACGCAGGGTCCTTGGCGCCAGTCCTTCCCCCAGCCCAGGCCCCGTCCTCTTGGTCATGCGGCCTTCTGGCTGCTCCCTAGGAGCCTTCGGCTTCTTTCTCCAGCTCTGGAACCGTCCTGGCCTCTGGGGCTGCTGGAGACAGAAGGGAGTAAATTTTGGAGCTGTGTGACCTTAGCCTAGCTGCCTAATTCCTCTGAGCTTCAGAAATCTCACTTGTAAAGAAAGAGTAAGCAATAACAAGTCCACAAGGCTGCTGTGTGGTGGAAAGGAATGGCACCAGTGAAGAAGATGCGCGGCTCCTGACAGGTGGCAGGTGCCGCCCCCCCTCCCCAGGCACCCCACGGACAGCCCCCTCACTTACGCCGCCGGGGTGCGCAGTGGGGGCAGCAGCGATTCTCCTTCCCTGGACCGCAGGACAGTGGCAGTGAACAGTCATCCCGTTCACAGTGGGGCACCCCTGCCTGGTGCAGGACAGAGCAGATATGGAGGGTACCCAGAGGCACAGGGACACAGCAGCCTTCAGCCTCTTCAGGGAAGCCCACTCCCAGGAGCCTGCCCTCCCCGGAAAGGTCTCCCCACTCTAGGCCAGGCCCCCGATGCCCACCTCACACAGAGCGCACTCCCCACTCACCCCACATCTGCAGGTGATACAGCTCATCTCCCCAAAGGGAGGCACCGAGGGGTGCCAGCTCTGGCTGTCTGGGAACCACTGCCCTGCAAAACGGCAGCCCCGGGGCCCATCGGCCTGCATGGGGTCCCCCAACTGGGGGTGGGCCCCTGACCCCACTGTTGAAAGGGAGGGAGGGAGGGCGAGCTCAGCAGATGTGAGTTCTGTGAGGGCCACCCAGGTTTTATTTGTCTTTGAATCTCCAACACCTAGCAGTTTCTGGCACTTAGTAGGTGACAAATTTGGATGAGAGGATGGATGGATGGATGGATGGATGGATGGATGGATGGATGGACGGACGGATGGATGGATGGATGGATGGACGGATGGATGGATGGACGGATGGATGGACGGATGGGAGGATGGGAGGAAGGATGGACGAATAGATGGCTAGAAGGTTGATTTGAAGGAAGGGAGGAAGGGAGAGAGGGGGGAATGGATGGATGGGGCAGGAACTGGAGCCCATCTTAGCCCACTAATAAACCCATGCACATTCTTTCCAAATGCATTTAGAGCCCTGCCTCCAGGCTAGGCACAGAGCAGTGCTCAGTAAATGCTGAATTAGCTGAGAAGTCCCTTCCATCCACCTTCACTATGCATTCCCTCACTGTGCATCCCCTCACCTAGGACAAGGCAGCGAAGCACCTCATCTGCCCCAGGAAGCCTCTGTGCCCACCCCCCTCACCTGGACACTGTTTGCAGCAGTCAGTGGGGTTGGCACGGACAGGCTGGGCGCAGGCTAGCCGAGGACACTGCACCTTCTCACAGTGCACCTCTCCAGTGCCCCCCTGTAGGGATCCATTGAGGGAGGGTGTCAGAAAGGAAAAGGAGCCTCCTGCTTCCTCCCTCTCCTTTTCCATCCCTCAAATGTCATACTGCCATGGCCCTTCACTCAGAGGCCCTGGACTGGTGCTTTATATACCCAAACTCAAATGTTCGTGGTAGCCCTGCAACACAGCTGCTCTCCTATCTGCTCAGAGGAGTGGAAACGGGAGTTCAGGGAGGTACAGAAATCGCCAGGGCTATACGGAGCGAGTCAGCAGCCTGAGCCAGAATTCACACCCACGTCAGCCCTTCCCTTTTCCTGCAGGAAGCTGACTCTCAATGCTCAAAGGACTTTTCATAGTGCTTTCATCCTTCAGCCTTCCTTACACAGGCTGGGCTTTCCTCTTCTGGCAGCCCCCTCCCCATCTCTGCAGACCCTGCTGGGTTATGGCACCAGAGAGGGTTGGGCGGCCATACCTTGCAGGTGCAGACAGCACACTTAATTAAGCCAAATGGGGGCACGACGGGGTGCCACCGGGTACCCGCTGCCCGCCAGCTCCGGTCACCATCAAAATAGCAGCCTGGTTGGGGGGACAGTGCCCAGCTGCCATGAGTACTGAGCTCATTGGCTGGGCCCACAATCAAGGCTGGAGTCTCAGGCCAACCCCACACTAGTCTAACCCCAGGGCCCGTTTGTGGACCAATGACTCTAATGAAGCCTGTCAGATGTCATTTGGAATCTGTGCCCCTCAGCCTCCCTCTACTCCCCCCATATATATTCTCACCCTTTTGTTCCCCTCCTGGTCCCACCCAACAGCTCTGCTGGATTCCCCACCCCTGCATGCAGACTTCCAGCTCACCCTCTCCGGGGTCTCTGGTCCGTGAGAGCCCAGGCAGGTCTCTGACATCTTGTTTCTCTGTGGGGCCAGAGAAATAGTGAAGGCAGGGGATGACCACGCCCTTCCCCCCCCCAGAGGCCTCATCCCCCACGGTGGCCCTTCCACCACCCCCTCCACTCAGGCAGGACACTCACCCGGGCACACGGGGCAGCACTGGTCCGGTGCCTGCACCGGGCTGGGACAGCTGGGCGGCGGGCACACCACGGGGTCACAGATCACCGTGCGTCTCTGCAAAGAGAG